TACATCTTTAAAGCTAGAGTGTCCAAATTTTGTATGTATACTTATATGCACTTTATACAGTTTCGGGTTTTGTCCAAATTTACCCCCAACCCCCTCACCCTGACATTTGTAAAAGGCGTATTTCAAATACTAGAGACTTGTGCTTTGGCAAATACATGCATATTTATGTTATATTCATGAAGAAAGTACGTACACAAGAATTGTAAGCAACCACTGCAGCCAATGCGTGTTTATGTGTGCGCACGTATGTCTGTGTGTGTGCGTGTATGTATGCAGTTGCTCGAAGGGTTCAGGGGATCTCGTAGTCGGGCAGTCTCGACTAGAGCTTTCTTACTTGTTTTTGTATTATCATTGCTGCGACAAGTACATATTTTTTTTTTGTTGGAGACCTAGAACAGGTTAGCAGCGGTAAATCCAAGTGCCACGTATTTGAATTTCATATTCTCAAATGATATAACACTCCAATTTCGATTAAACCAGTTTCTAGATGCTGCATCTGCCTGGCTAACACCTAACAACTAACCAGCACACCAGCTCCTCGGCTAACCAGCCAACCAGCTAACCAGCCAAGCAGCTAGGCAGCTAAACGGTAAATCTTTTATTAGAATTTCATGCAAATTTTGGAACAGACACAAATCGCAATCCAAAAGCGGGCTGCAGTTGATTTTTATGAATCCGCTTTTGCATAATTCGCTGACGATGACCAATGCAGTAGCCTCCTCTCAGCAAGCTGGCAAGTGGCCAATATATTGGTCAATATGCTGAGAGAGGGAGACAGAGAGTGAGAGAGTGAGAGAGCGAGAGAGAGAGAATAGGGGGTGGGGTGGACGGGGGAGCGAGAGCGAGAGGGATTGGAACAACTGGTTGAGATGCGCTCACGCGCTTATTAAGTGAATTCGATCCACTCAAATGGCCGGCTCCGTCTACGTCTCTGGCTGTGGCTCTGACTGAAATGTCCAAGATGACCTTCGATCATTTTTGCAGCGATTAAACAACGATGACGCCGTTCGCGTTGTCGCTGCCAGTGCCGCGCTAACTTTTATGCAGCCTCCGTTTCGTGGCTTACTTAGTATTTAATGTGGCATAACAAGATTTTATGAACTGTTGCGACAAATTTCTTTAATATATTTTTTATTTAACTGGGATTTTTTTCACTCAAGTCCGTATATATTCCTCTCTTCAAATCTCATTTTGGATTTTTATACCCTGACAGAAGACAGATGCGTGGTAAACAGTATACAATACATATATATATATATATATATATATGTATATATGACGATGTTTATCGACGATCAAGTGGGAAAAAGCTAAGGACTTGTAATTCTAAATATTTATATCGGTGCTCAGTTCGAGCTTATCATCCTCCATATTACCAACCATTATTTCAATTCTTAAGCCTTGCTCTATTATGTCCTACGGGAATTCTTCTAATGATCAGATTTGATATATCTCAGATTTTAAATACTTCTCTCTCTTGTATTTTGGTGAGCTCACCTCTTTAAATATCATTTTCACACCCTATAGGAAATGTCATTAAACAATAAGGTTCCCATAGTATATATGTACGGGTGTTGTTAGACTTCTCTTTTAATTAATTTATATAGAATATTAGCTTGGTAATTAATAACGAGCTGTTCCTCCTAGTCTACAATTGCTTCATACAAAATGATTCAAAAGAATTTAAAAATTGTAATAATTAATCGTAATTATTAAATTTCAGATAGTATGTCATAATGAATGCTTTATAAAAAGCAGTTCACATTTTCTCTGAATCAATAAAATATAATAAGGTGCTACACAAAAAGTATTGCATTAAGAGATTGAATTTCTAATTTCGAGTCTTATTCGGCCTTTCGCTTGATCGCTCCTTAAAATCAGGCAATCCTGTGATTATTCGCTGTCCCCATTTGAACATAATGTAATAGAAGCGTGTCTCGAAGCACTGACTCGAAGACGAGTCAGGCAATTAGAGATGTAACGAAAACAATGCAACATAAGACGGCAGATTCGATTGCATAAATCAATCAAATTGTCTCTCACTCGAGAGCATTGAGTAATAGATACAGTTTCGATATGAGGTTCACAGAAATTGGGTTTTTTGCTCAACTATAAATACCAACCCCATTACCCATTGCCCATTAAGTATTGCATTTTGTGCAGCATCAGAGCCAACAATAAAAAAGCCATCGATGAAAATCGACAATTAATAGTGAAAGTCTAAACAAGTACCCATGCCCAGAGCGAGAGAGAGACAGACGGAGCTAGGGCAACAATGGGGCAGACGAACGGCATCGTCATCATCAAAGGTACTGCAGGAAGTTTGTGGCCTGCGCGCAGGTCTGTGCTAGAGTCTATTGGGCCAGCCGATCCCGTTGTCGTGGATTTCAAAGGCGATAGCATCGACGCCTCCTCTGCCGCCATGCCTCTGCCAAACCTGTAGCAGCTTCAGCAGCACCACCACCACCAACAACAACAACAGCGATACGGCAACAGCTACAGCAGACAAAGTGACTAACTCCTTGGCCCAAACCTGAAATTCATTTGTATACTTCTCACAAAACTTCACACGAAAACTGCTTGGGCTGTAGTTGGCAGAGATGTCTGATTTCTGCACCCACTGACTCAATGACTGAATGCCAGTGCTGGCCAAAGCTGGCCAGAGCTGCCAAAGCTGCCAAAGCTGCCAGAGAGTCACCAAGTCGCCTGACCCGTACAGCATGCCAAAGACGTCGACCACGACGCATTACCATTTCTTTGGGTCACTGCGCAAGTTTGTCCGTCCGTGCCTGTCTTCGAGTCTGTCTTTGGCTTTGTCTGTCAGACTGGGCAGATGCATATGTCCATGTCCATTGATCAGACAGAGCCCGAGCCAGAGCCAGAGCGTGCAATGGGGTTCGCAGTTCAAAGTACACTCGAAGCTTGCAAAATAATATGTATTAACAATCTTATATAAAAAAAAATAAAAATAAAAAAATAAATTAGCCGGGTTATGCAACACGAAGAAGACACGAGAAAACGAAACGGCTTGAGCTTAGTCAGTATTTACTGGCCTTTATAATAAATTTGTTAAGCAGCTCTTGAAAATAGTAAATGCAGGACCATAGATGAGAAATTGTTCATCTTACTTAACACTCGCACACACGCACACAAATCTAGTCTAGTCTATCACCGTCGAGGCTGAATGTTTGTTGAATATTTCAAGATGCAACTGCATCTACAGAGCCGAGCCCAACCCAAAGTTGATGCCAGAGAAACATGTTCGCTAATAAAAACAATGGCACATTGTTATGTTCAATGAATATCGCACGCTCTTCCCGGTAGCTATTTTTTCTACAGTAGCCCACGGTAGTTTTTGAGCTATTTGTTGTTGTCTTCTGAGCTTTGAGTTGGCTGGCGCAAAGGGTATCAATCAATTGCTTTCTAAATGACCCACGGCTAAAGCCAACAGCATTTGCAATGATATTTGATTTTCATTTGAAATCTTCGCCCATTGTCTTACACTCTGTTAGATCTTCAAATAGATTGTGCCAACTGTACAGGTACTATAAATTTCAAAAATTTTATTGAAGAAACTCATCGAGAGAGTAAAGCTTCCCATGTTTAAATGAATTTCTATGGGGACCATATATTTATTTATAAAGAGAATATACAGATCTGAGAAGGGAAGTAATACATCAGAAAGAATTAATTTGAATAGCTTTACTTTCGGAAGTTCGTGTTTGTCCTTTTATTTGGAATCAATCTTGAGCACTAAAAGAGCTAATTTCAAATAAACAAAAAACTTGAACGGGGACGTCAAATATAGATTTTTATATATATAAGCTATAAGTTTATACTGCTATATTGTCTACAAGAATCTATATTACGACATCGCTGCGTTAAATACCCGTTCATTGCCAATGGAATTCTTTTGATTTTATTGTACATTGTCACCCAACTTCTATTATAAAACGTAGCACATGCAATTCTTCAAGATATTCAGCCCAAGTTTTCAGATCAAAACATGTAAGAACGTTTCATTTGGGCGGCCACAAAGAACATACACTTTTTTCGCTAATTGTTAAAGGTAGATATCGCACAAAACCCATACACTCATGGCTTTTGATTTGATAGGCTTAAAAAAAAAAAAAAAAAACGACAAAAAAATTAATAAATAGTTTTAGTTGAAGAAATAATAATAAGATGCTGTTTTTACTTGCAAAGGTAAACTGTGGGAGGTTTCAAATCTTTTAGGGAATCTTAACAATTGTAAGCTAATCAAGAGTTTTATAAAATTATATAAATTATGACACATGGGTTTGTGAAACAAATATGAAAATCGGCAACAACAGCAACAGCGACAGCGAACAGCTAAACGAAACGTCCAACTGTCGTTTTGCAATTCGAATAAGCCATAATATTTATTTTAATCAAAAGCGAACAACCGCCAAGGGGGTCGGGCGAGGGTAGGCAGCGGAGTCGAGGTGCTGCAGCGGACAGCACAATTTATTTCATTTAATGTGCTGCATTAACCAAAAGATTGAGATGCGATCCTCTGTTGGCCAAACTCCAACAACTCGGGTGCGACATTGCAGGCGGCAACGTGAGCTTAGCTTTTGGCAACTAGCAACCGCCGAACGGCCTCCGACCTCCAACCTCCGCCTGCCGTTCTCCTTTCTTGTCGTCTCACACAGAAGTCTCTTGCATAGGGTAACTCAAGGAGAGACTTGTAGAGGCATTTCTAATTAAGACATTCGATACGGTTGCTTGCGTGTGGAACGCAAGACAATTGGGAAACCACATCTCGAAATGTTTGCCGTATGAATCCGTATGTATCTGTGGAACTGACAAAGTGTCAAAAGTGCAGGGTAGCGTATGGCAGGGAAGCATGGCATATTAGAATAAATTATGATGCCCCAGACACCGCTTAACATTTACAAATTAACGAATTTTCAAATTTTCAGCGAAGAATATTAAATGCCAACACTTAATGTTTATCCTTATTGAAATCCTTGCAGGTGCAGAAACTGAAACAACAGCAACGGAAAATCGTGACACGCTACCCACAAAGTCAACCGAGCAAAGCGTGAGGCATATCCAGAAAGTCGGCAAGCCGAAGAGCTTGAAGGCTGAACGAATATCTGCAGTTAGATCTACAAAAGGCGATACTAAAGTTACAGGTGCGACAATTGAAACAACAGCAACAAAAGCTACATCAACAACAACACCATCTGCAGCATCACCTAAAAGCAGCCATCCGAGGCTCCATAGCCCAGCGACCACAAGCATGTTACTTTTGCAGCCCAATGTGAGTTCCATTTGAAATTAACGTCCTTTATATAATGCATGTCCTCAAAGATCATAAAAAATAGGCATAGATAAATAATAAAGCAGATGCTGTGCATTTTGCCAACCTTAACAAATACGGCGTCGTAGCAAGGCAAATTTTTGGTCAATGGTTCCTTGATTACAAACTGTGAAGAGCTCGTAGAGATAGAGGAGGCACACCACCCAAACAATGACAACAACTACCACAATGGCTGCCTAATTCAATATTTTGTAAAATATGTTTGTTGGCAAACAGAGCCAGCTAATGCGTCAAGCATATCCAATTAGACATCAAGGATCCTCAACAGTCAGTGCGCTACCATCTAGTAGGGGTTTTAGAAATATTTCTATATTACTATTTTTATTGTTAGACTCTCACCTATACGATATATTCATTACTAATTGAAATCAAGTAAATAGTGAGATTAGGTTGAACAAGTTTGAGAACCAATTGTGATTTATGAATTGGGTATAAAAAAATGATGCCAACCTTTGGAATAGAACGGTACTTCAACCTTATAATGGTGTTAAGTCGCTACTAAGTTACAAATATAAGCATCACAACAAATCTCGGTTTACGTTTATGAACAGAGTAAAACAATTATATGGCTGCCCTGTTAATAGGGGTTGTATTCTGTGCACCAATCAGCGTCGACAGTGATATCGCGCATGTCTAGCAGACGACTTGACTCCACCCTTATCTAATGCTAGACGCTATCCTAAAACTCAGTCGAAAGGCGCTAATTCAGTCTATGTCTGACTTTCTTCAATTGCAGAGCTCCTTTAGTTCACTTTCGTCGTTCGACAACTTTTCAACGCAAGCCGTGGCAACGACAACAACCACGTCCACAGTAGCTGCCGTCGCGCCTGGTGCTGGACATCATCATCACAATCGCCATCAGTATCACAATCATCATCAGCAGCAAGCGCTACAGCAGCAGCAGCAAGCGCAGCAGCAGCAGCAGTTGCTCACGCAGCACCAGCACTTACCGGTGCCCACGTCAAGCCAGGTGACATTGCTGTCCCATGAGGAGGATCAGTTGATAAGCAACCTAGCCGATGCGGCCGTCACGCATAGCGAGCTGTTCTCGGACTTGTTTTTTCCATCGGACTCGAACAATTCGCTGCTCTCGCCAGTTCTTGAGAGATCGGTCGCCAGCTATCCAGACACGCAGATTGATGTGCCCCCGTCCAGTGAGGCGCTGATTGGCAGCAGCGAGGATATCACCAGTTCCATTGAGAATCTCACGAAGCTGACATGCCTGCGCGATAAGCGGTTGCCCTCAACGCAAGACCAGCCGCCCTCTAACAGTAACGGCAGCGCAGGCTCCGAGCAGGATCATCACTCGATTTGCCTGCTCAGTCTTCGGTCTAGCAGCGATCCCGCTATCGCACTTCACACTCACCAACAACAGCAACTGCAGCAACAGCCGCTCCAGGCCACCTATCTGCAGCGACACGGCACCAGCGACCTCCTGATCTCACCCATTGGAGGACCACTCTCCTGCGGCAGTAGTTTACCCAGCTTCCAGGAAACCTACTCTCTCAAATACAACAGCAGCAGCGCCAACAGTCCAAAACAGGCCTCCCCTTCAGCTACTGCCACGCCATCCGACCAGATCTTGACTCTAAAAATGGACGAAGACTGCTTTGCGGATGTAATGGCTGACCTAAACACCGACCATGCTTCAGGGCAGTCGCTGCACCAGCTACAAGCTCAGCCACCTCGGCCCAACAACGCCAACAACAGCAGTAGCAACAGCAGTGGATACAATTACCATGGTCACTTCAATGCCATCAATGGCACTTCCCATCCCTCACCCAGCTCATCAGCAAGCTCGCTCTATGAATACAGCGGTGTGGCTCACAGCGACAGTTTCTTTGGACAGCAGCAGCAGCAACAGCAGCAGCAGCAGCAACAGCAACAGCAAACCTATCAACACATGGTAAGTAGGAACTGCTTACAATCATTACCCTTTACATATTAAAACGATTATGTTGGGAATCCGTACAGAATTACAGCTCGCACAACGGCGAACGTTATTCCCTGCCCACGTTTCCCACCATTTCCGAGATGGAGGCGGCCACCGCAGGAAGTAGCGGCGCTCCTGGCTCAGGCTTGAGCACAGGCTCTGCTGTGGTTGTCCCACCCATGCGCCGAGCCTCGTTGCCCATACAGCGCTCCGTTTCTCCCGCTTCTGCCGCGCACAGCCCCAAAGTGGCTAAGCTGGCGCTAGTTGGCACTAGAAGCACTCATGCCATCAATGCGCTGCAGATACAACTAAGCTCGGCACCCAACTCCACTGCAAACTCACCTGTGAGCGGGGGTGGCGCTGACTTTCTGCACAGCCAGGCAGGACGTTTGCTTCAGTCGACCAATTCCTCGCAGTTGTGCGCCGTGTGCGGAGATACGGCTGCCTGCCAACATTACGGAGTTAGAACCTGCGAGGGCTGTAAAGGATTCTTCAAGCGAACCGTGCAGAAGGGCTCCAAGTATGTATGCCTGGCGGATAAGAGCTGCCCGGTCGACAAGCGAAGACGGAATCGTTGCCAATTCTGTCGCTTTCAAAAGTGCCTGGTGGTTGGCATGGTCAAGGAAGTAGTGCGCACGGACTCACTGAAGGGCCGCCGTGGACGTCTACCCTCAAAGCCAAAGTCACCGCAGGAGTCTCCCCCATCGCCGCCCATATCGTTAATAACTGCTCTAGTGCGAAGTCACGTGGACACAACACCAGATCCCTCGTGCTTGGACTATTCCCACTACGTGGAGCCACAGGATTCGGTGACGCCGCCAACTCTTGCGAACCCCCTAGGGTTGAGCGAGGCCGAAAAGGTTCAGCAGTTCTACCAACTGCTGACCAGCTCGGTAGATGTGATCAGGCAATTCGCTGAAAAGATTCCCGGCTATTTGGAGCTCACATCCGAGGACCAAGAGCTTCTGTTCCAATCCGCCTCGCTGGAGCTGTTTGTGCTACGGCTCTCTTATCGTGCTCGCAGTGACGATACAAAGATGATCTTCTGTAACGGCACTGTGCTACATCGTACCCAGTGCCAGCGTTCGTTTGGCGACTGGTTAAATGGTATCATGGAGTTCAGCCGCAGCCTGCACAATCTGGAGATTGACATCTCTGCCTTCGCCTGCCTCTGCGCCCTCACGTTGATAACAGGTTAGTGGATAGCCACCTCATCATCCACCCACACACAGACACACACACACACACATACACAACAACACTACAGCTCTCTACTTTCTGTTACAGAACGGCACGGACTTCGGGAACCCAAAAAGGTGGAACAACTACAAATGAAGATAATCGGCAGTCTACGTGACCATGTTACCTACAACGCGGAGGCTCAAAAGAAACAGCATTACTTCAGTCGCCTGTTGGGCAAACTGCCCGAGTTACGCTCCTTGAGCGTACAGGGACTGCAGCGTATATTCTATCTAAAATTAGAGGATCTGGTGCCAGCCCCGGCACTTATTGAGAACATGTTCGTTACTACGTTGCCCTTTTAGGCGCCATAACTTTGCTTCCTTTATGTTTACATAGCTCTTAATACGGTAGATTACGTAAATAGAATATCGCATTGAATATTTAACAATCCAGCGTGTACATAGCTCTAAGCGATCTCAATGAACGTGAGACTCAGATGCTTGCAATAAAAGAAAAAGAAAAGTGCTAGAGTGCTAGATTGAATGTAGATAGATAGAAGAATCTATATAATTAAATTTGCATCAGTTCATATCTAGTAGCATGCGTATGATCGACCCGCCCCTTAACCCTACATCTCCTTATTCGTAGACCTACAGGTCCTATTGCTTGGTACAGGTACAACAACTAACCGTTGGCCACTGACCAGTGCGTAATGAGAGTTGCTCATGAATATTTAAGCAGTGTTTCAAGTCGAAGCTATTCGTGACTTGTCAGCCACACAGAAAGAAAGAATTCACAACTTGTTGACGTTAATTGTTAAATTGTTTAATTTCAAACCGTCAAAATCAATGCGCGCAGCACGCACATCCACCCATACATCCGATACCGTAACCGTTACCCCCTTACACTATACATTGGCCCTTTCTTGTACCCTTTTTCCCATTCCGATTCCGATTCTTGCTTGCCTTCGAGTACAAATCAGAGCTCTTTCATGCAGTATCCACTCTCGCCGTTAGCTTACTTCTAGTCAATCGTATTAAGTACCAGATGCGCATAACTAATGGTTACAAACATGCTTCTTAATTAAAAAAAAAATATATATATATATATTTTTGATTCTTTAAAGTCTAGAACTAGACATATAGGCAAATACGATATATATGGTACGTAGATACACTCCTTACATTTTGGTTGTCATCCATTATGTCTCGGTTGGAGCCTTTATCGCACGACTTGGTGCACAAAGAGAGAGTTTAAGTACCTTTATGTGATTTGTGTCTGACACATACAGCGCTGCACACAAACTCACAAACTAAGATTTAATAATTGATAAGAGCATAAGTATTGCATAGTCTAAGCTATATGTAAGCTTTCTAATAATCTGTTAACTATGATACACTTGAATGATAAAAATTAAATGTAAATTCAAAGTTAAGAAAATATTAGATGATAGCAATGTTCTCTCAAAGGATTGAGTTTTTCTTTCAATTTCGATTCATAGCCTTCAATTGTGGTTTTGTGATAAATTGGCAGTTAAATCTACATATATATCTTTATATTTACAACTTGTATATTATTTATCTTAAACTTATATTTTATACCATATACAAATACATTTACATATACTTATACATATACATATACCTATACAAATGCATATACATAACATTTTTCGGAAGGGCAACCATATACATACAAATCGGCATGATACAAAATTAGATAGCAAATAACTAATGTAGAGCCTTTATAGAAATGATCACTTATGTTTAACAAATATATTCCTCTATGGCTATAAAAACAAACTTAAAGACTAAGTACAATAATTATTTATGCCTAACATGGAAAACATATCTCTTCAAGCTTTTGGAGGCACAATACAAAACTTAAGTGTTGTTAACTTATTTTCATATTATTGGTAATACCTGAATAACAGAATATCACACTTTGTATTTTTGTTGTATTTTTATAGCTCATTGTTATTGATTAAATGTTAAATATAAATACAAAATATGTAATATATCCACTTAATGTTTAACACAAGGCAATAATTCAGAGCCGAAAAAAATATATAGATGTATGTCCAGCAGACAGCCATTTTCTACAAAATATATACATAAAATAGGTAAATTGATATATAAAGCACTTATATAAACCTACCTGTTAAATCCTTAAGTTTAAGCTTGAGTAACGGTTAGAAACGCATATTTGAAAAGGAAAAATGAATATGAATATACTGTGACAAAATTGGTTTGAAACCCCGGTAGACAGCATTGCAATCAAATCGGTTTTTAACTTGGGTAGACCGTTTTGCTCAAATATGAATTCGAAACCCGAAACTCGAAAATGTTGCCATTGTCTAGCCTTTACATATCATGAAGAACCACATAAGTAGAAGAACCATAAACAAATTAAGTTCTTTGACTTTAACATTTATACATGATAGAGAATTAGTCGTTGGCATATATCAATACGTGTGAATGAAAACCTACTTTGTACCTTCTAAATACTATATATGTACATACATTAATATGCGTATGTATACTTACATATATACTCGTACATAAACATATACCTAAATATATACATACAGATATTTTGAATAGACAATTTTTACAAGGAACTTCTAAATTTTCATGAAATGGACATTTTGTTGTTGGATGTTCTTTTGTAGTTTTATATGTACATACGTACGCATATAGGAATCGCAATGTCAAGTAAAAAATTTTGGGTATGCATATTTTTGAGAAATGAATAATACTTTTCACTACTTTTCAATATTTTCATATATGTACACTATTTGTCTATCAAAGGCATAATTTTAAATCGTAAATACATAGATAAGTAAGATATATTTTATTATCCACTTTCCTATCAAATAAGAATAGGCAAGAGCCCATGAAGCTTTATAAATGGCAAGAAATTGAATTTTTTTAGCAATAATCTGAATTAAATGGAAAATATACTAAAAAAAAAAACAAAAAAAACACAGTTTAGCCACAAATTTAAAAGTAAATATATGTATATGTATATTTAAAGTACAGAATATACTTAAGTGCACAAATGAATGTTAATTTTGAAGCCCATCCGTAAAGATATAACTGAAGACAGGATTTATAGTACTTACGTACAGCAACAGAAAGAACAACAACAACCTATAGAAATATACACATAAAATGTTATATACATTTTTTTCGAATTTTATTGTTTTGTTTAATATTTCATGTACTTTTGAAGAACAACTAAATACAAAGCATGTCATTTCGATTTAATAAATATATAGACGTTAGCCTATTCTTGTTTTCTATATGACTTTTGAGAAAAGTTAGTTCTACATATAAATCAAGTTATATACACACAATATAAAATGTAACTGATTTCAAATAAAATTGTTTACTTATTTCTTGTGTGTTAACCAATCAAACTTTGTATATTGGGCGTAGCTAAATAAATTTGGATTTCGTCTATTTCTTGATGCCTAGAATTACTCAACATGCCTTCTAGATGATGTCTTATGTAAGACGATGAGATCACAAAGGATGGTGAAAGAATCTGAGCATACCAACTATGTTCAATTTACTTTAAGTAATGTGATCTGTGCACTGCTTCCTCTAATTTTTTCAGCTTTGGTCAATTACTAAAAACAAAATGAGCTCACCTTACCTAAGTTTGAACCTTATTTCAATTTAACTCACCAAAGATTTACACTGCTTTGCTATAATTTTCAACTTTATAATTGTATTCAACTTACTTTAAATAGCTTGGTCTCACCAAAGATTTACACTGCTTGCTCCAGTTTATTAACTTGATCAGTTTGTTGAGATTGACAAAAAACGGGAGCAATAAATTTGTTGAATTCAACAACGTAAACTCACCAAAGCTAAACACTCCTTTGCACAATTTTTATATAGTATTAATTTGTTCAATTTACTATTAGCAATGTGAACTCACAAAAGATACTCTTTTTTTTTTTTTTAGTTTTACTACTATGTATTAAATTGATACCATACCATGCATTAATTATCAACCAACATAACAATAATAAAGCTAAGCTTGTAGTTCAGCTAAATCTTTATGGTATTTTAGATTACCCCTAAGTTGGGATACGTATAAAAATATTATTTGAACCCAATCAACCAGGTAATGTGATGACGAACGTAATATGCAAATGCACTTATGAATCCCGATGGCATTAAATCTAGTGGAACCGTATGAATTGAAAAAATTCGATTACATAGCTCCATCTACATATGTATATGATAGCATTCATATAATAGAACAATAGGTGGCGCTTGCTGTTGTAATGTTATTCAATAAATAAAGTAAACATGTAATGTTCTATATTTTATACTTTTGAACTTATTCGTTATCCATACATAGGTGGCGCAAACCAATCCCAATGGCGAATTATAAGTGTCAAGATTTTCCCAATCCGTCCAGCAGAGACGTGGAAAATCGGAAAATGAATCTGACAGCATTTGGACAGTGATATAGTAATAACCCCCAACTACAGCGCTCCACTTAGTTTAATATTGTATTTTATTTATTATAATAAACAAAATGTTTATGTATGGATTATCTTTAATATCGAATCAAATGATCAGAATTTTGTGTGTTTTAAATTTTCTTATAGTAAATATAAAAATAATACAATAATACAGTAAATACAATATAATATACATAATCAGTCATAGACAGGCAGCAATGTGTGGACGTCGTTGCGGCAAACAGGACAACGATGGCCACTCTCCAAGCGGTGCAGCTGCTGGGCACACTCCTTGCACAGGCATAGATGTCGACAGGGAAGGATAACGATGTTCTTGTTCCTTTCTAGACACACTACACAGTTTGATCGATGACCCGAAGCATTCGTCGATGCTTCCGAAACCTCCAATTTCTGAAACACCCAGGAGACTTGCTGATTAGTCCAGTTCGCCGACCACTGTAAAGCCAAGCGCCCTTTTGTTGAGATCTCATTAATAAGGGTCCTTAAGAGATAAAGCGCTAGCAGATGAACATATCTGCGAAACATGTAGACCACCAGAAGCAGCGCAATACCAATCGTGAGTTGGAAGACGTTTTTGAGTAAATATGTGCCACGCTCAACAATATGTCGAGCTAATTGATCAAGCGCTAGAATAATATAGTCAATTATAACTATAATGGCTCGCGGGAGCAGCATAAGTATCCACAGTGTGCAGTTGCCAAGTCCAATAAGTACGTTGCCTATTAAAAGGACTAGTTCCTCTGCCAAGTACCGCGCAAGATTGAGCCCGTCTCCAGTACCATAGTAAATGTAGTCCCAAACATTGCCTACAATATTCCGAAGTTCGTTATAAAAAATGTTGCACTCCTTCGCAATAATAGTTGCTATTCGGTAACAATCACATAATGCGCTCCAGATGTGCCCACCGGCTTCGACGAGGCAGTAACCTATGAACCAGCTGGCAGCGAGAAAATAATATATTATATTTATAATGCTCTCAATCACGGTCGAAATAGGCAGCAGTAGCAAAGCATCAATTACAGTTCCAACTGTAATTAGTATTGAAATCATAGTGCACGCCGCAAATACATTTTAAATAAATTGAAACGAAAGGAACAAAATGATAACAATGGCAATGCCACTCCAAGTGAGGGGAATATTCGACTCTTCAATCGATAGCACAATATCACCATGAGAGGAACCACGAACCATGGCTTATGGAAGAACTAGGAACTATCGATTAAAATAAATATTCCACATCGATATAGCCACTAACCACGGTTAGTGAAACAGTGTAACAAAAGTTACACTCGATTTGATTTGGTGTTCGATATATCAACAGTTGAAAATGCATTTACAAATAAATAACACAATTTTACTATAGGTATTAGATATTTCTTTTATATTTATAATACAAATAAACTTATACAATATACTTGCTCATTGTGAGACACTACACATTACATTTTTAGTTCTCTAGTTCATGCTGCCGTTGATATTGGTATTGGAAATACCTATTTTATTTATCAAAGATATAAGCTCGCTATTTCTTCTCATTACAGCCATAACTTCCAATTGCTGTTGCTTCATAATGCGTAGCCGATTGCGCTCCTCAATTTTGGCCAGTTGGTTGTTGCTATTTATATTTTTGGTGTCCACATCTAGCTTCTGTTCACATTTTATGTGGTAGAGCTCATCACGAATACTATGTAATTTACGCTCGCAGTCGCGCACGTCTTTCTCTAATATTTGAGTTTTCAGGTAGACTGTTTGTGCTAGTTTATACCAATCAGCCAGACATTCCGCCATTTGAGCAACAGCGGGATTCACATTTTCCAATAGCAATTGCTTAATACGTTTGCCATTGTGATCCACTTTTATTTTCTCTAGGGCATGGAACTGTTCATCGTTGTAAGTTAGGGTACGTGTCGCACGGTCACGTAGCAAATGTTGCCAAGAGTCACGCAAGCGCTCTACCAAATACTTTGCCTGTGCGCTAGCTCTTGTGCGGCAAGGGCATTTCTTGCCGTGCATCAAAGATGACCATTGGTCACTGCAAGTAATCAACAATAACAGTTTGACTTTGACTTATAAATTTTGCATACTTAAGCTCGTCATCTGTAACA